TACTCCTGTTCTTCTTTTAGTCAGATCTGAGCCCTCCTCTGGCCTCCCGCCACCCCCCACTACTTTACTGGGCCCCTTCAGCCCTGGGGGCATCAGCATCCCATCCCCCACCCCAATATTCCCCCATGTACCAGCATGGGTCTCTGCTGGGGTCCCATGTTGGACTCAACTGAGTGCCCCCTTCAGCCCATAACATCCAGCTGGGAACCCAACACCCCTCACCTGTGACAGCCAGGGGGAACTCCTCCCGCAGGGGCTGGGCCAGAGCCGAGTGGGTGACGTGGCAGGAGAAGATGCTGCCGGAGTCGCTCATGGTGGGGGTGAAGGTGTAGGTCAGGGTGAGGTTAAAGGTCCCGTCCGGGTTCCTCTGGGGGGCAGAGCGGGTGGTGTCGGTCAGAACCCGCCCGTCTCTCAGCCACGTGACGGTGACGTCCCCGGGGTAGAATCCCCACACGTGGCAGGGGAAGGAGGTCGCTGTGTCTGTCCTGACCACTCGCCGGGGGATGGAGAGTCTGGGAGCAGCTGGAATGAGAAAGACAGTCCTGGGGCCATGTCCAGATGTACACATGATAATTTGGGGTTAACCCCATGTAACGATGCTGACTTTGGCACTCTCAGAAGTGTCCCACCAATGTGGAGAAAATAGATAAGGAAAAGTTATTTACTTATTCCCATTATACAAGAACTAGGGGTCAAATGAAATTAATAGGCAGCAGGTTTAAAAGGATGATGTTCCTCACACAGCGCACAGTCAGCTTGTGGAACTCCTTGCCTGAGGAGGTTGTGAAGGCCGGACTATAACAGCGTTTAAAAGAGAACTGGATAAATTCATGGAGGTTAAGTCCATTAATGGCTATTAGCCAGGATGGGTAAGGAATGGTGTCCCTAGTCTCTGTCTGTCAGAGGGTGGAGATGGATGGCAGGAGAGAGATCACTTGATCATTGCCTGTTAGGTTCACTCCCTCTGGGGCACCTGGCATTGGCCACTGTCGGTAGACAGGATACCGGGATGGATGGATATTTGGTCTGACCCGGTACGGCCGTTCTTATGTTCTTAATTCAGGACAAATTGCTTAGAACAGGGCAGTTACAGCCGAAATCTGGGGTCCTTTGCACACCAAGGCACCAAACCAGCCAAACAGAGAAGACTTTGGTCTCACCCCACTGGCTAACCGCAAGTCTCACAAGCAATCTCCTTAGACACCCCAGTTTCCCAGTATCACCACCAGTGCTGCTCGTTATGGGGACAAATGGTTATGAAAACCAATACCCCAGTAAAAGAAAAATGGTTCTCTTGATCCCAAAGGACCAAGCCCCAGACCCAGGTCAATATACAAATCAGATCTTACCCACAAATCACGCTATTGCCAATCCTTTAGAATCTAAAATCTAAAGGTTTATTCATAAAAGGAAAAAGATCGAGATGAGAGTTAGAATTGGTTAAATGGAATCAATTACATACAGTAATGGCCAAGTTCTTGGTTCAGGCTTGCAGCAGCGATAGAACAAACTGCAGGTTCAAATCAAGTCTCTGGAATACATCCCCCGCTGGGATGGGTCCTCAGTCCTTTGTTCAAAGCTTCAGCTTGTAGCAAAGTTCCTCCAGAGGTATGAAGCAGGATTGAAGACCAGATGGAGAAAATGCAGCAGCTTTTTATAGTCTCTTGTCATGTGGTCTCTGGTTTCTTTGTCCCAAGGACACTATCTAGCACATGGCTGGACACCTCCAAGTTCGGTCCATAGGCAGGTCCCAGCCTTGCTGAGTCGCCAGGTGTATCTGCTTCTCTCAATGGGTCCATTGTATAGCTGATGGTCCTCAATGGGCCATCAAGCAGGTTAGGCAGAGCTAATCTCAGCTTGTCTGGGATGTCACCCAGAAGCAGAGCACAAGTGTGAACTACAGACAGTATAGAGCCAATACTTATAACTTTAAATACAAAATTGATACACACACAGAGAGCATCATCATAACCAGTAAACCATAACCTTGTCTTAGACACCTTATTTGACCCCCTTTATACAAGTTTTGGTGCCACTACAGGACCTTGGTTGTAAAAATGATCTATACGGTCCCAGTTTGTGTAAATAACTTCACACCCCATGAGTAAATCTGAGTGCAAATTACACAGATATACCCATGTCCTGCCAGCAATAATTCAGTATTGTTCTGGTGCACAAAACACCCTGGGTCACCTGTGAGGTTTTAATCCAGTAGGATGTCACGGGGTACCCAGGCGATGCTCTGGAACTGCTCCCCACAAAGCCAGTCAGGACTTTGGGGAGCCTCCTCTCCCTCAGAGCAGACTGTCTTCAGGGCAAGAAGCTCACACGGCTTCACCTCCTGGGTCTCTCCTGGGAGCATTCAGCATATGCCCCTCTGTGCGCTTCCCACAGCGAGTCCGCCCTGGCGGGGTCCTGGGGAAGCCAAAGGGTCCTGCACCCCCACTTCACAATCAGACGTGACTCTCAGCCAGCCGGGGACACAGACGGTTTATTATTCGACAGGAACACGGCGTAGGGCAGAGCTTGTTAGCACAGAAATCTGTGACTTTCAGCCAAGTCCATCTTGGGGGGAGGGGAGCCCAGAGCCAGGGCTCTGCCTCCCCCTGCGCCCCAAGCCGGTCAGACCGACTCCTTCCAGCTGCCCGGCCCCTGCCGGCTGTGACGAACTGGGACTGTTCTTACTGTGGTCTGTGAATGCTGACAGGGGAGTGTGGCTAGGATAGTCTGCCCGAAGGCGAATACCTGAGCGTGTAACATGAGAACCCAGGAAGGGGTTGGAGGCCAGGTGACACCTTGGCCCGGGAAACTGAACAAAGGCTGTGGGAGGGGTCGCTGAAGGGGGAGGGTTGGAAGCTGGGTGGTGAGATGGCTGGAAGGGAGAGATTGCTCTGACCTCCCAAGGGGAGCTGGGATGCCCTGGGACCCCAAGATGGACCTAACTGAGGGGGGCCCTGTTGTCTGTACCTGCAAGACATGTCTTGGACTGTATTCCTGTCATCCAAATAAACCTTCTGCTTTACTGGCTGGCTGAGAGTCATGGTGAATCGCAGGAAGCCGGGGGTGCAGGGCCCTGAGTTCCCCAATACTCCGTGACACCGGCCCATTGCTCCTCCTCCGTCCTGGGCCAAGAGTCACCTGGTCACGTCCCCTCCTGGGTTTCAGGTTACGAAGGGGCCATAGCATCCCTGCAGGCAGCTGGAGCAGCCCCCGCAAGTCACCCCCCCTTATTCCCACCTCCTGGACATTGGTGCAGCACACAGGGAAACTGAGGCACACACAGCAGTCACATAAAACAGTAAGACTCACATAGGCTCACATACAACATAAGGAAAAATCCCCACTACCTCACACATGTAGGAAGGCGCGTCAGACACGGTGACTGAGGTGCGTGGTACAGAAGGTGTCAGTGCCGGGCAGGTCAGGAGGGGGCTGGGTTACAATTTCCCCGGCTCACATCTCTTAGGAGCAGGAAGTGAGTGGGCAGCAGAACCCGGCACTCAGCTGTGTGAGTGCACTTCACGTACCCGTTGGGCAGCTGGTTCCCCCTGAAGGAATTACATCCGGGGGCAGGAGTCACAGATCTTATGGCCAGAAGGGACCATTATGATCATCTCATCTGACCTGCCGCATACCCAGGGCCGAGAGCCCCCCCCCAGTCATTCCCGCCGCCAGCCCGGCACGTCTGGGAGAGCTAGAGAGAGTCTGTTAGAAAGACGTCCCGTCTGGAGTTAGAGATTCGGGAAAACCCACCACTTCCCCCTGTGAGTTGTTCCAGCCATTGATTCTCCGCCCTGGGAAAGACGTGCACATGGTCTCTAGGCTGAATGTGTCTTGCTTCAACTTCCAGCCACTCAATCTCGTTCTGCCTTTGCCGACTGGACTAAACAGCTGTCTGCTCTCAGACATCGGTTCCCCAGGCAGGTCCGTAGGGCCTGTGATCACGTCGCCCCTAAACCGGCTCTTGGTTACACCGGTCGGCTGTGCTCACAGGATACGGCCAACAGGGCTGTCAGTCACGGTGCCCGCGGTGCGACCTCTGTGGGTCTGACGTGCGCAGGAGGGACTCCTGGCCTGAGGAACGCAGGCCTCAGGAACTTGCTTATGGTGATAATTCCTGGGACAGGAACCTGTGTAGCTAACACAGCTCCGGTGCCTGTGGCCTCGCATCCCTGCTGAAGCATTTGTTAAACATGTCCCTGAGTTCGCAGCAGTCAGGACCCGGATGCACCAGGAGGGTAGCAGGGATTCCGGTCACCCAGGGGAAGGAGAGGGCAGTAGCTAGACAGAGAAACCCCAACAAAACTAAACAGCCTGAGTGTCTTGCTGTAAGAGTTGTTTTCCAGAGCTCAGATCTGCTCAGGAATGCGACTCATCCCATGAGGGGTCAGTAAATACCGATTACATACACATTTAATTAGTGCATGTCTAATTCCTCTTGTTTATTGCCAGGCTGTTAGCACTGGTGTACAGGCCACTGCTGAATTTCTTCTCTTTACATCCCTTGGTACCTTGATCCTTTCCATTCCGGCTACCCTGTCTCTGAGCTGTGTCCGAGCACATGAACTGCGTTTGCCCCCTGAGCACCCTCCCCTGGGATGCTAGTTTAAATCTCTCCTGACCACGGGCCTGTCACCCAGCAGATCGGTTCCCCTTCTCCTGAGATGGAGGCAGCCCAAGCCAGGCAGCCTGCTCTCCCCACAGAAGGCCACCCACACGGGCAGAACGTAACAGAGGCGGGTGGAGGCTAAGCCTCCCCAAACCTCACACCGCTGGTGTAGAACTGATGAATGAAATTGTTTTTAATTGTTCACTTTATTAATGTAACTTCATAAGTAAAGTTTTATGAATGAAACAATATTCATTCATAAAACCAGTTACCCCAATAACTGGCTAATTAACAGTTAAGATGCTTGTTAAGAGCCATAGCTGTTCAGGCAGCTGCCTTTGTAAGTTTCGCTATCAATCCAATTCCTGCTTAAATCACTGAGACTTGCCCTGTTTCAGTATTGGAACTTCTGTTCACCATTTATTACACTTGCCTACAGCGTAACTTCTGTTCATTGTTTGCCATATTGTAATTCAAACCCCATTTGAAAACGCTGACTCCATTTTGTAAGGGCTTGCTGCAACCTTCATTTTTGCAAACCCTGCTGTAATCTTATTAGTTTAGTTTAGATGTGTGAATGAGGGATGGATGGATGGTGGAATCAACCTCCAGCCCCAGCCTGTCCTGATGAAACAAAGTTCAAACACCAACGGCTGAAGATGTGGACAAGAGCCCTAACAAAGTGAGACGAGTCCACCCAAAAAGAAAAAGAACAAAGGTGCAAATGAAGGAAGATCAAAGATCTAAGCTAAGATCAAAGCCAGGTCCAAGGCTGAAAGTCACTCCGGCAATTGATGGGAGATCAGTCACACTGAACCCAGAGGCAGCGTGACACAGCAAGACCTATAGACTCTGGATTCAAACTAAAGCCTACAAAAAAGGATGGGTGAGATGGAAAACTTTGGAGGGTAAC